GGCCATCCCAAAATTATTTGAAAATATTATCACCCCTCACTTACAGCACCTTTGTAGATCGGTTATTTCTCCATGTCAACATGGTTTTATTAAGCGAAGATCAACAACAACAAATCTTTTGGAGCTCTCTTCCTATATTATAAAGGGCTTCCATAATAATTGTCAGACAGATGTAATCTATACTGATTTCAGTAAAGCATTTGACTCTGTTAACCATTCTCTCCTCGTTAGAAAACTCGATTCAATGGGTTTTCCAAGTGATCTTCTTAATTGGATCTCTAGTTATTTGAATGGCAGGACGCAAAAGGTCCTCTTTAAGAATAATTTATCCAATGTTCTAAGGGTTACATCTGGTGTCCCGCAAGGAAGCCATTTGGGACCCTTATTGTTTACATTGTTCATAAATGACCTTCCCAAAGTCTTGACTAACTCCAGAGTACTTATGTACGCGGATGACGTCAAGCTTTGCGTGCAATACAATGACGTTGCCTGCCAGTCGGATTTACAAACAGATCTTAATAATTTTCAAACTTGGTGCCGTGTAAACTTATTAAACTTAAATGGCTCGAAATGCAAGCTAATGACATTCTCTCGTGTCGCTCCTAAGCTTGCTACTTACACGCTGAACTGCTGCTCTTTGGAAAGAATTAATACAGTTGACGATTTGGGCGTCCGCTTGGACCCAAAACTTGACTTTATTGATCATATTTCGTCTATGGTGAATAGAGCCAGGGGTGTGCTTGGATTTATTAAACGGTGGTCGAAGGAATTCAATGACCCCTATGTTACTAAATCCTTATATACTTCCTTAGTTCGTCCTATCCTAGAATATGGATGCTGCGTTTGGAGCCCTCAGTACGGCGTCCATAGTAAACGCATTGAGTCGGTTCAAAAGAACTTTTTACTTTTCGCTCTACGCGGTTTAAATTGGGATGCAAACCAAAGATTACCTTCCTACTCTAGTAGACTCCTATTAATAAACTTGCCGTCCTTAGCCAATCGTAGAACAATGCTAGGGATAACCTTTATTTTTAACCTTATCCATGGTGATGTGGAAAGTGCTGACTTGTTGAGTCAGCTTAATTTCCATGTGCCATGTAGAACCACTAGATCCTATATCCCATTAGTGTTGGGCCACTGTAGGACCTCCTTTGAACTGCATGAACCTTTTATAGTGTTATGTGCAAATTATAATGATTTGTACACACTAATCTCTAACGTAGATTCCCTTCCCAAATTAAAATCTTTAATACTAACACACTTAGTAAGCATGCATGCTAACAATCTGGCAGCACGCCGGTAGTCAATTTTCCTCGTATTCTGTCCTATATTTCCCATCGCGCCTACTAACACCTAACCCAAACAGGCACGTGCCTGGTGTCATACGGGCCACTTATATGTACTGACCTTAGTGCATCAACGTCCAAGTAAAAAAAAAAAACAAAAAAAAAAATCAAAGGACAAATCTATCACAAAGCAGGTTCACTGCTTCCGTTCCCAGACAGCGAACACAAATTTCTTTAAATGTACTTCATTGGTGATGATGGAGATGAAGTAGATGTACGTTATGGAATCAATACCTCGCTGAAGAAGCACATTATTTCGCAGGTACGGAAGCTTTTTCACGAACGGAACAATTTGGTGCGTTTGTTCAAAACAGCAATCGATATGATGCCTTCGGATACCCATAAAATTGTCATTCATGCAGACAAAACGCCTGCTGGAGAACATATCAGGAGATATAATGCTCCAACTATAGACGAAGTGGCAATTGTCATAGTCGGGGATCAGTTCCAACCTTGAGATATTACTCTCCATCGACGAAACGATCGATTGGTAAACGCTGAAACTCACGTTGTTACGATGCTTTGCAGTATCCACTCATATTCCGGGATGGTGCCGATAGATACCAGTCAATGGTGTAGAAACGAATAAAAAGTGCAGCGCGATGAACTTTTCTCATACCGATTAATTGTTCGGAGGACCGATGACAATCATATATTGAAATGTCGTCAGATGTTTCTTCAGTACATTGTCGATATGAATGCAAAAATTGAAACAGAACGTTTGCTGTTCCTCCGATTGAATCAGACGAAACTTCAGTCCGAGGAATATATCCATTTGCGGGATGCTGTGATGAATGACCGTAACACAACCAACGTTGAAAAGCTCACGATTTTGCCATCCTCATACATAGGTAGTCAACGCCACATTCAAGAATATGCTCAAGATGCCATGGCATATGTTCGTTGCTACGGCCGTCCAGACTTATTTATCACCTTCACATGCAATGCAGCTTGGGACGAGATAGTGCAGCTGTTATTTCCTGGACAATCGACTAGGGATAGGCATGACATCACATCCCGTGTTTTCAGACAAAAGCTCAAGTCACCGAATATGGGTGTCCAGTTACAGAACGATGACTCAGCCGACGTATTCTCACGACAGCTACTGGACATTGGGAACGGAAAGCTGAAAGCTGCCCTACGGAATTTCTAAACTCACTTGATCTGCCTGGAATCCCACCACATATTGAAATTAAAAATAGGTGTGCCGATTATCATGCTCCGGAATATAAATCAGCCGAAACTCTGCAACGGTACGCGACTCGCAGTCAAGAAATTGATGAACAACGTAGTAGAAGCAACGATCATAACTGGTCCTTTTAAAGGTGAAGATGTCCTCATTACTAGGATTCCTCTGATCCCGACTGATACACCGTTTCAGTTCAAGAGATTGCAGTTTCCCATTCGTTTGGCGTTCGCAATGACCATTAATAAAGCTCAAGGTCAATCTCTGGAGTTGTGTGGTCTAGATTTGGATACAGATTGTTTTTCACACGGACAATTATATGTTGCGTGTTCCCGTGTCGGAAAACCAGATAGTCTTTATATTTACGCAGAGAATGGAGAAACGAAGAATATTGTATACCAACAAGTATTACAGAATTAAATGAATTTGAAAATTATTCTTTTTGTTCGACTTATTTCTTCTGCGTGCAACCACAATATGCCACAGAGAAACATGGCAGGGTACAACTAGTTTTTTTTAAATTTTGATTACTTGTTACATCAACAGGTTCATAGTATTAACACTGCAAATCAGATGCGCGCTACGATAAGCACTGAACTACTTGCATGCATTTTATCGGTTATTTTACCCTGGTTTTTTTCATTGTGCATCCATAAGTTTCCAGAGTCGCAACTCAACGCAGACTATTGAAACTTATTCTGATTCAGGAAATACATACGCTGAGTATAGGAGTAGCGGCTTTTGGCATCTTCAGAAGTTATAGACTTCTCTAGGAGGATAAAATTGAAAAAAATAGACGCCTGGCAGGTAGGCAGGTGTACAAGCACAAGCCGACCTGCCGTTTTTTTAGTTTGGCTTACAGTTTATTAATGTATTGAAATACAAGGCTCGATCAATTGTGGCTATTATTCCCAAAATATATACAGTGTAAGCCAGCATATCTTCATTTATTCATTTGGAAAGCTGGGAACCTATCTTATTCTTACCCCAACATTTCCTTAAACATTTGCGTTTTTTTACCCTTAGTTTAAATATTTTAAATAAATCAAAATGTTAAAAATGTTTTTTATTTCTACGGTTTCCATAGAAAATGTCTACTTAACTCTTTATTTCAGTCTTTCTACAATTTCCATATGCCTGATACTTTCGCGTTTCAATTTGTTTGAAATTATTAAAAATCAATAGGGAGAGCCAATATTACATGGTTAATACATCGCAGATACTAATATGTACTTCTGAAGATCCTTGCGAATTGTGACTTCGACAATAGAGAATTGCATTATTCTTTTTTCTCCACATTTATTATTATTACGATCTACATATTACATAACAGAAATGTTTCCGTTAATACAATTTTGAATAAATATATAAAATTTTATGAAAATCGGACAACTATATCATATAGCTCCGATAGGAACGATCGAGAAATTAAGACAATTAAAAATTATAACATTTTCAGTTTTCAACAGATTTTCATCAAATTTGAGATATAGCCATTTTATATCAGTCTTAAATTTTGTGTAAAATTTTATGAAAATCGGACGACTATATCATATAGGTGCCATACAAACGATCGTTAGATGTGGAGAAAAATGCACATCTGTGACTGTAAAACTGCAAATATAATATGTAAAGGTGAATGAAATAAGAGCAGGTATTACTTCATTGTTTTTTAACACAAATAAATATAATTTATATTATTGGGATTCCAAGTCATAGAAGTTCTATCTGCAAGGGTCGGCGTGCCGAAGTTAGCTTCCTTTCTTGTTTTTAACTTAACTAACCTAAAGTTTTATCTTCAAATACTTATTTTTTAATCAACCAGGTCATTATGACCTCCCCATAACACCTCTCTCTATATTGCGGAGAAGTTTTCCAATCTTAGGACACAGACGCACATTCCCTAGTTCCCTCCACATGCTCTTCCTTGTGTTGGGACTCATCATTACTTTTGAACTCTTCATTTAATTTGATAATTAATTGTTTATTGGCAACGCTCTTAGAAATTCATGAGAATATTTGAATAATCGCTTATTAACTAATGATTTTAATTAATATCGATCTGCGTCAAGTAATTTGATTACTTTAAAAGGACCCTTATTAAACCAAACTGGGGTCAAGTTTTTAATTGTTATGCAAAATTCTCGGAAATTATTTCTAGCGAAACTGAATTGTTTTGTGATGATATGACGGAAGGATAAAGCTGACTTTATAGGTTTAATTCAATTTTGAAGTCTAAATTAAGAGTAAGATGTAAGTAAACATTCTTGGTAAACGCGTCTGTTTGACCAAAAATATATTCCTTTAAGTCATTCTTTCCACTAAGTTTGAATCTTATTTCAATTTGTTTGAAATTATTAAAAATCAATAGGGAGAGCCAATATTACATGGTTAATACATCGCAGATACTAATATGTACTTCTGAAGATCCTTGCGAATTGTGACTTCGACAATAGAGAATTGCATCATTCTTTTTTCTCCACATTTATTATTATTACGATCTACATATTACATAGCAGAAATGTTTCGGTTAATACAATTTTGAATGAATATATATTCAATTAGAGCCATTAGAACTTTTCGTTGAACAGTTTCCCCCAAGAATATACATGGATTTATTGGCATCTCGTTCACTACCATAAATTTTTCCAGCCTTTTTTGCCATCGATCCCAGTAGGTCTTGAGACAATTTGTGTGCTGATCTTAGAGATGAAGCCCATTCCTTTAAACCTATTTCGTCCTGGAATAAAATAAAGCTTATTTTACTAAAAGTTAGAGAATATACATGTGTGTCTTACAGAATTAGTTAACATGATTCTACCATCTCGAGTACCATCGATAATTCGAATTTGGATACAATTCTCGTTTTTGTGTTGAATGAAATCGGTTGAAATATCTTCCACTTGGTCCATAAATATTAATTCTGGTTTATTATTTCCACTTTCAGAGTGAAGCTCTAAT